GCCTCTTTTTCCCTCTTCTGCTCTTTGCATTTCCCATTGAACAAGCCACCATGAGTCGCATCTCTTTCAGATCATCTACTGGAGGGGGAATGAGGGGCTTTAGCTCAGGCTCTGCTATCGTAGGAGGTGGCAGTGGTGCCAGAAGCAGTTTTAGCTCTGTCTCTGTCTCCAGAGTTGGAGGAGGAAGAGCCGGAGGTGGAGGAGGCTTTGGAGCTGGTGGTGGCTTCGGCAGCAGAAGTCTCTATAACCTAGGTGGAAGCAAAAGAATTTCCTACAGCTCAGTCGGTGGAGGTCTACGGAGTGGAGCTGGTGGTGGATACGGCTTTGGTGGAGGAGCTGGCTTTGGTCTTGGCTATGGTGGTGGAGCAGGCGCTGGCTTTGGCTTAGGAGGAGCTGGTGGTGGTGGTGGCTATGGGCTGGGCAGTGGATTTGGGCTGGGAGGACCTGGATTTGGTGGTCGAGGTGGCCCTGGGTTCCCTGTTTGCCCACCTGGTGGCATCCAAGAAGTGACAGTCAACCAGAGCCTCCTGGCACCGCTCAAGCTGGACATCGACCCGGAAATCCAGAAGGTGCGAACACAGGAGCGGGAGCAGATCAAGACCCTCAACAACAAATTTGCCTCTTTCATCGACAAGGTGAGAGTTTGGTCTTAAACATCAAGACATGCATATTAGCAGTTGCCTTGGGAAAGAACAACAGGAACAAACTTCCCTTGGATTTCGGGGCTTGCCTGAACTAATCCCAGCCGACGAACCGCGTGGGCTTGGCTGAAAACTAAGACCTGTCTTGTGCTTCCTCTTTGTAAGGATGAGTTTTTCAGTGCCTTACTTTATTGAAAAATTAAATCCTCCTCCTTCCAGTAAAAAACATTGTGGGGGCCCGAGGGATCTACTGGTTTTAAAATGACAAAACTCTACACAGCTCAGTGGGATAACTCCAACTTAAACCAGGAAGGTGGGCTGAGTGTGGGGGGGAAAACATCAACAGTTGCAAATACATGTGTTTGGCCTGATTAATAGCTCTGGGAGAATCTCACTGAAAATCTTAGCTGCTTTTCATACTTTTTTAGAAACCAGTGCCTTGAATTAGCAACACCTAGTAATTTTCTCCCAACTGTCACAGCATCTCTTGACCTTTTCTTTCTGTGTTGAATGATCCCTTTATTTCCAGGGTGTTTTTGTGCATTGTTCACATGAGCTTCAACATGTGCCTGGTTTTGTTTCTTCCCAGGTGCGCTTTTTGGAGCAGCAAAACAAAGTGCTGGAGACCAAGTGGAGCCTCCTCCAAGAGCAGGGTCACACAGTCACCAGGAAGTCCCTTGAGCCCCTTTTTGAATCCTACATCAACAACCTCAGACGGCAGCTAGACAGTCTTTTGGGAGAGAGGGGAAGATTGGACACTGAACTGAGGAACATGCAGGACATGGTGGAAGACTTTAAGAACAAGTAAGAAATCATGCTGTGTAGCATAGATGATTAGCAGACAGGAAAATCAGGGCAGGCAGTTCACACTTGCTGGTGCACACCTTTGTGTTCCCTTTCCACTTTGCAAAATGAACACATAAAAGCAAAACTTGATCTCAGAACTACCTCTAGTTATGTCAGATTTGTTAAGTGCAGGATGTGCCTTTGGCACAGAATCCATGTACCCGTGGGAAGTTGCTCCCGTCTAGCAGGGGACATGATCTGATCCCTGAGTCTCCCAAGATAATACACCTGGAGAAGGAAAAAGGCAGAACTCATGGGCATAATGGGCATGCAAAAAGGGAATGAAACATAACCATTAACTGCCAGCTCCAAGATCCCCCCCATTTCTCTTTTTGCAAAGGAAATCTCAGCCTTCCCAGAGGGCCCCAGGCCACCTGCACGCACTTGGCCTCGTTCAGCACCAGTCACATGGAAGATACTCAGCTCTTTTCTCTGGCCCTTGTCAAAGAAAATTATTTCCCTGGGGAGGCAATTAATGCCATCCTGAGATAAGGTGTCCAGCAGAGGTGGGATGAATAATTTTAAGGAGACACCAGTCGGCGTCTGCTGACTATAAGGGACATTTAGGTGCTTTTTTCAGGTGAGGTTCATTTTCAGTCAGCTGCAGTTCAGCAAGTACAATCTCTCCCTATTTAACCAGTTCTGGCCAAGTGCAAATTTGAGAAAAACACCATGAGGCCTGAAATACATTTATATTAGATAGATGAGCATGTGAAGAGTGAGATTTTTTGGGGGATGGGATGGGGAGATGGCACTTAGGGCTTAGAGGATGGACTGACACAGCTTCTGCTATGTTGTACTTGGGTGCAGTTCAGGTCTCGATCTGTACTATAGGCTTTTAGAAATACTAATCAGGCCAAAAATGACAAATTATATCATCTGGATTTTGGAGCTACTGCCTGGGAAAGAGAAGATATTTTATTTCACGTATAGAGTTGGTTCCCATTCCACTGGCTAATTTCCACTTCTTCCCATGTCAGCTAAGTGATCCATCTGTGCGGATGTCTCTGCCAATATTAGCTGGAGGACTGGCATGAACCTGCCTTTAAAATCCAGGTCTTTGCCTCAACAGCCTACGTGTTTTGTCTACTTTCTAGCTAAGCCCTGCCCTGATTATCTGATAAAAGGATGTTGCTCAGAGCCATGAAAAGTTCCACAGAAACAGTTGGAGACATAATGATCTGCTCTCGCACAACCACGGCTAAAGAATCACCAAACTTTTTTTTATTTTATTTTATTTTTATTTTTAATTAAATGCTGCAGTGGGTTATTCAGAGCCATTAGCATTATTATAATATCAAATATCAAACTGTTACATTATTATATATTTGTAGGCATTGCAATGCAGCTTCTTTGGAAGCCTTTTGCATAATTTTGATTTGGGCAAAGGTCACCAAGAATACCTGCTCCTGCTTCCTCCCGAAATGGGCTCTTATCCTGCACATTTTTATGTCTGAGCTTGACTTTGAGGGCAGTGATTAAAATCTATTAATTTTAGTTGAGACTTCTCACACCGTGGGGTCTTGCAGGCTCGGTCAACAATAACTTGCTCTGGACTGTAAACAGGTGGGAGTGAGGAATATCTATGAGCCACAACTAATGACTTGGGACTAGAGTGGTCCCATCTCTGCTTCCCATGCTGGCTTTGGGCTTTTCCACTAAAACTTTCTCACTCTTTTATCCTAACAGATACGAAGATGAGATCAACCGGCGCACTGGTGCAGAGAATGAGTTTGTGGTCCTGAAGAAGGTGAGTGAACTGGGAGTTATGGGGCAAACAATGAAATTAACTCAGACTTTAAGCAAAGAGCATGAGAGCTGGGGATCTCCAGCCTCATGGCTGGGTCAGATCATGATGTTGGCACGTCCAGGAATAAGTATGGGTCCTCCTAAGGTGACAAATGGCCACAACCTTCTCCATGCTGATGGAGCTGCCCGGTTTTCTCAAGATAGCTCCTCTGGTTGTAGTTGCAAACCATCTGGTCTCTTGTAGCTCAGTTCAACTCTGTCTTGGGTTGTGTCCCCAAGAGTCAGAGTTTGCCTTCTTCCTAAGAACCTGGTTCTGGCTCACAGTGAATGTCCAATATGACATTAAAAAGAACTCAAACCAACCTTGATCACAGCAATATAAAAATAAGCTTAAAGCATACCAGACCTGGGAGCAGAGTGATGGTCATACTGGTGTCCTGAAGCCCCTTTGGCTTGTGGTTTCCTCAGACATATTTGATTTTCTTTTCTTTAGGATGTGGATGGTGCTTACATGAACAAGGTGGAGCTGCAGGCCAAAGCAGATGGTCTGGCAGATGAGATTAACTTCCTGCGAGCTCTCTACGAAGCGGTAAGCATCAGCTCTCCCCACAGCAACATCCTCCACAGCTCCCGGCCATGTCCCGGAGCTCCAGCCACCACGCTCAGTGCTGTAAAAGAGAAGGTGGTCAGTGCCTTTTGGAAATTATAATGCAGGTAGAAGACAGAAAAGGGAAAATTGTTAGAGACAGGGCAGGGGGAATGCAAGAAAACGGCTTGGTGGAAAGGGCTCCCAAACACCCCTTGTCTGCAGGGGTTCCACCTGACACCAGAACATTAACTTAATTTTTTGCATCTTCTGCAGGAATTATCCCAGATGCAGCAGCAAGTATCAGACACCTCCGTGGTCCTGTCCATGGACAACAACCGTAACTTGGACCTCAACAGCATCATCGCGGAGGTGAAGGCGCAGTACGAGGACATCGCCAACCGGAGCCGGGCGGAGGCTGAGGCTTGGTACCAGAACAAGGTGGGTGACCAGATGGACAGATGGATTTTGGTGGTTGCTGTGGCAGCTCACTGGTGGAAGGGAGGCGGGGCTAACGGAAGAAGGGTCGCAGTGTCACAAGAGTTAATTTATTTTCTACACATGCTGCCATAGGCTTTTATGTGCAGATCCCCGGTGTCCACTTGGAGACCACAGCTCCTGAGCAGCTTTATATTCCTTGTGGTGAAACCAAAGGACAAGATATTTAAATGCCTTGACCCTGGGCTCACAAGGAGTCACTGGTAGATCTGGCCTTGGACCCAGAGCACTCCTCTTTTCCTTCCAGGTTCTTAATAGCAGGTGACAACCCACAGGTGCTCTACACAATACAGTAGGTGCTGCCTTAGCATATATCATAGAATCATACAACCATAGAATGCCAGGTTGGAAGGGACCTGAGGGATCAGGATATATTCAGGATATATTGATAACCAAGGGCAAATGCTGTTATTTCACAGGCAGGTTGCTCAAAGGAATGTTGTTCACCTTACCTTGCACCCAGACCTGCACTTTGCTCCCTAAAGCCCCCTCACCCCTTTCGTGAGCCCTGTGGTGCCTAACCAGTTCTCATCTCCTCTCTACACACCAGTACGAGGAGCTGCAGGTCTCGGCCGGGCGGCACGGCGACGACCTGCGCAACACCAAGATGGAAATTTCAGAGATCAACAGGATTGTCCAGAGGCTGCGGAACGAGATCGAGAGTGTGAAGAAACAGGTAGGAACGGATGCTCCTGCAGAGCAGCTGCTGCATGGTGGAGGGCAGGCACAGTGGAAAGAGCTCCTGGCATCAGAGCAGGGCTGTCAGGCCAGGCTTCCTACCCTGCATTGAAGAAGGCATGGCCATGTCTGTCTGCTCACCAGAGAAGTGATCTCCATGCCAAGATGTGCTGTGATAGCCACTATCTTGATGGGGAAGCAAGTTGTGAGATACTGAGCTACACCCCAGGTGTGTAGCAAAGCAGAGATGTAGATGTCAATTCTTTGCTTTGGACACAGGATTATGGCTGCAGGTCCCCAGTCACCCACACCATGGCACCTTCCCAATGGCCCGTTGGGAGCTCTCAGTGCCATGTTGGGCATCAGTGTCTACAACACCACAGGAAAGCAGTTTGAGGTAGCCCAAGTTTAAAAAACTATCTGTTTCCCTTGCTTTTAGTGTGCCAACCTCCAAGCAGCCATCGCCGAGGCGGAGGAGCGCGGGGAGCTGGCCCTCAAGGATGCCAAGGCCAAACTGTCTGAGCTGGAGGATGCTCTGCAGAAAGCCAAGGCTGACCTGGCCCGGCAGCTCCGTGAGTACCAGGAGCTGATGAACGTCAAGCTGGCCCTGGACATCGAGATCGCGACCTACAGGAAGCTGCTGGAGGGCGAGGAGAGCAGGTGGGGACAAGCACAGGGACCTGTTGTGCTGCTCTTCAGAGCAGGGCTCAGCTCAGTGGGCTTAAGAGACAGCTCACCCCGAGGGGCTGGGGCACCGAGCTGGTGAAAGCATAAAGGAGCATCAAAAAATAAATCAAGGGCAGAGAGCGGGATATTTAAACCTTGATCTTTCCAGCTCTTGGAACCTGATGGCAGTGAGAAAAATGAACAACACCACTTTTCACCTGCTATGCAGACATACCCCACCCGACAATAGTCCCTATGAAGGCCACAGTAGCCTAATTAGATTATCCCAGTGGCTAATACTATCTCCTGCCTGTGCCTTGGGATAACTGCTTACTTTACCCCCCGTTCCCAACAGGCTTGCCGGAGAGGGAGTCGGAGCCGTGAGCGTCTGTAAGTATCCCCCCCTTCCCACCCCTGCGTGCTCCGGTGGGGCAGGTGCCCCTGCCCCCGGCGGGACCCTGAGGTGTGTGTGCCGTGTCCTGCAGCCGTGGTCAGCAGCTCCAGCGGGGTGGGCTACG